TAGCTGTAATAACAACATTCTTGCTAAGAATTATAGTTGCTGTGTATATTACTAACACACATATTGACTGAAATACCTGTCACTTCGAATAGCTTGATGGGCTATCAGTAAGAACTATAGTAACGGCAACAACAATTAGAATAGTAAATAATCTCCGAAGTGAAGGAAAATTATAATGGTCTAAACTTGCCAATGCCTTACCAAATTCAGATTTGCAGGAGTGACCGTGTCCCCTTGGGGGTCAGAGTTAGTGACAGATAAATTTCGGTAATTGCTGCTGTTTCTGCAGCTCCCGGGGACCCTTGTCAAGGAGCACAGTCCCACGGTGCCAGGTGCCGCACAGACACAAAAGTGCAGCCTTTTCCCCTTTCCCTTCCACTGACGGATAGGTTAAGCAATAGCAAAGGGTGCAGGTGGAGGACAGGAGGACAAGCAGGACCGTATCTGCCAAGAGCCAAGCCATGATCCAAACTCAGCAGCCGGGCAGGGGGGGGGTGGTTTGCAGAGCCTCAGACAGGGCATCCTGCACAGGGTGAAAGATGAAAATCTGAAAATCCAGCAAGCAAGCTGAGGGAGCTGGCTGGCCAGGCTGGTACCTGCACACAAGGACAGACAACAGGCTGGAGACACAGCCTGGGAGGGGAAACAGGCATCTGTCATCTGCTGCAACAGCCCATGGGCAAGGGGAGGGCTGCCCAGAGGAGCAAGGATGGTGAGAGGGACCATTGTCCTCCTGCAGTGTCCTGCACGGAAGGGCATGGGGTGAGGCTGTGTGCATCAGGGACTGAGAGTGGAGGTGTGGGAAAGGCTGGGGACTGAGGGGAAAGGCTGCAAATCCCATGTAGAGAGCTGGAGAGGGACCCACATGGAAGCAGAGACTAGGGCCTGAGTGCCAGGGAAGGACGGTGATGTTGCTTACAGTGACTGAGAGAAGAGGCAGTAGCAATGTCCTGAGAGGCATCTAGCCCCAGTGCAATAAATGATGTTATTATTGACTTTACAGGTGAGGAGCCGGGGGAAAATAAAGCAGGAAAAAGGTCTGAACCGGCACTGCAAAGTGCTCGTCTCTGCTCTGGCGTATCTTCAAGGAGGAGAAAAGAAATCAGATTTTCACGCTGAGACACCAGACTGTTCGTTTTCATTGCCCTGCAAAATCTAATCCTGCATTACCTTTGAATTGCTAATGAAAAAGGGGCCTTTAACGCAGACAGGCCATCAGCATGGAGCAAGCATGTCCCCAGGGAACAGCAGCCGTGCC